TCTTTTGGAGGCAGCAGTTCAGTAGAAAACAGATACAGGAATGACACTGGCATGAGTTCTTGTTCAGATTCTACCACTTCAGTCTCAGGACCTTAATAAATACAAAGGTTGCTGCACTGAGCTGGTAAGCAGAAATAACCATGTTAATTTAATCACGAGGAAAGGGACTCTGCCAAGTTAAGAAACATAAATTTTAATTACATGCACACACACATATTTGAGTTTTAATATATGCACAATATTTAGCTGTGACACCAAGAATACGATGGTTTACTAAAACAGGAAGAATTCTTAAATAGCATTTTATTTTTCATTGATGATTTTTGTTCATTTGACATTTCCATTTTGTATAGTTCTACCTAGTTCTTGTATCTGCTACATTAACCATGTGCTATTGTGCTTGTGGTACCAATCAAAAGGAAATTTATCTACAAACCTTCTTAAAATTTTCATATAAAAGAGTAAGCTTTTAATTATAGTGACTTTACTGGTAGTTATTACTTGTAATAAAGATTATGTTCTCTGAAATTGTATTGTTTGAAGAAGAGCTTGTGTTACAAACTAGAAGTTACAAAGAATTTAGAACAATTAGCGGGTAGAAAATGCTATTACCTATATTTAAAAAGGATTTGGATGTGATTCAAAGATTTAAAGACACATAAATTCTACATGAACATCTGAGAAATTGATTGAAACAGTAATTACATATAAGCAGTAAAGCACCTGGGAAATGATGATATAGGAGGTTCTAACCAACATTTTTTCCTATCAAGGAAAAGCATGCCTCACTACTTCTTTACAATTCTTTACATAGGTAGAGAGGACAATTTTCTTAAACTTTCTGAAGATCTTTGGTATGTCTCCAAAGAGAAGCTAAGAATTATCTTAGATCAAAACTTTTGGAATAAAAGATAATGGAAGAAAGAACTTTCATTGTAGATAAAGGCTTACAGCTGGTGCATCAAGGTTTAGTGCTTGGTCCAGTGTTGTATAATACAGTAATGAACAAGCTGCAGAGTGGGAATACCTTGCCAACTACAAAGATTTGCACATAATGTGAAGTTATTGAGAGCAATCATGGCTGGGAAGGTGTGCACAGAGCACTCTGGGGAAATGTGAATGTGGCTGGGGAATGGGCAGGGGGATGGGTGTTTTAATATGGTACCTGTGTGTTTGAATGTATTCCTTACAGGAAATTCTTGTCCCCATTACAAGATTCCTAATTCTTCTGCTTAGTAAGTAACTTGGCCATTGAAAGACACAGCCTGAGGAGTAATCTAAAGACTATTGTAATTCATTTGTTTAAATGGGGGATGTGGTTTCATCAGAAAATGCCAGATGCAGTACTAGTCTGTCTTGGGAAGACTGGTGTATAATAAGAAAAATCTCAGGAGGTTTGTCAGGACCATATGGAAAACTTCCCACAGCAGAGTAATAAGAAAGATTGTGACTGTTTATCCATGAAAGGAGAGGAATTAAAATAAATTACAAAAATTTTGGTCAAGAACTTCTATTTTCCCCAGCAAGAACAAGGGGGCTGGCAATAGATGAAGTGAAACACTCTTTCTTTCAAACCATAATTTAACTGTTGAACTCTATCAGGTGGGAACACATTGAGCTGAAAGTGTATCAAAATTCAGAAAGGGCTGGACTATTCTGTGTATTTTCAGAAGAGCCAGATTTAGAATAACTGGAGGAGATACTGCATTTATCTCTCAGGATGAAACGCAGTGTTAGGGTAGGTAAGTTCTGCATTTCTCTCGTGACAGACATTCGTAGCTTCTTCTGCAGCATGTGAGGTGACTGCATAGTGTGGCATGAGCAATATCAAAGCAGAGGCAAGCATGGGGTCACAGCTTAATTTCTTAAGCCCAGAAGAGTCTCCCTCTGGCCTTGTTTGAAGCTTCAGGCACTGGCTGGTACCTTCATAAGCAGGAGAGTGAGTGGAATGGACCCCACCTTACTTCCAAATAGCAGTTCCCATGGACTGGGGAAAGCCTTGATCTTTCACATGAAAACTACATTTTGGTTTTTGAGTTGGCTCCTCAGTTTTCTTTAGGGTGCTGGCACAAGAGTAGAAGATACTTTTCTTGCTTTTGTGGGAAAATCATGGATAGTTGAATAGGAAAGAGAAAATAAGGGATTTAGTGAAATGAATTTAATGAGCCCTGGTAGTGCTTAACTATTTCTGTAGGTTAACTGAACTATCTTTTAGATTTTAGAAGACTTTCATCTGTGGGGATTCAAAAACTGGCTTGGAAACATAATTTCCTGTCTCCATTATTGTACCCTTTACAGACTAGCCATCTTCCAGGAAGGACTGAATTAATTATAAAGACTGAATTCATCACAAGGGGTTGTATTTGGACCTCAGACGGTTTTTATGCTGTAAACTTTACATTCCAAATAAGATAGCGTCTGCTTTTTCCCACTTTCTAGAGCTCTTTAGGAATTAAAGTGCATTCACAGAAGCTAGCAGTGGAGAAGAAAATGAAGGAGTTGGATGGCAGTCAGCTTAGTGGGAAAAATGGGAGGCAGACACTGAGTTTCTTTTCACTGGATGCCCAGCTCACTAACTTAACTTCTTGGTGATTCTGTCTCCCCATCAACTGTGAATATAAAAATATTACCTTACAACGCCTTATCAGTGGAATGTTAAATTTAGCAACTAGAAAATGCTCTTAGAGTTTTGGATGAGAAGTCCTTCTGGAGTGTTGTTGTTGGGAAGTAGCAGTGCCACACAGAACAATCATGCCTATTAAAGACAGCTGCCTGTTTTGACCTTAAAACCTACCTTTTCCTCTTTTCAAACTTAGTTTTTGATATCTCTGGAACAAATGAGTAGTAGTTCCACCTTCATATATATTCTACTTATCCCTCAGCCTTTTCTTGCTCATTTCCTTTTCTAATGCATTCATTTGCTGAATGCATTGGTATCCAGAGACAGGAATAGCTTGTCACAGTGAAGACATGTTTGTTTCTAATGCCCTTGAGCTTGCTTGAAGCTTCTTTGCTTGCTGAATGTATGATGACCCCCTGGGGTTTGCAGTCCCTTAAGGTTCTAAATACAGAGCAAATGCCCTTTTGCACCCAAGCACAGGACTTTGAACCCAAGCCAAACCCACATCCAGAGATGATTATGGAGGTTCCTCAGTGACTTCAGATTCAAGCGTTGGGATTTGCACATAAATCAAGTCAAAAATCTCTTCTTTCTATTGAAATGTCTGGATCCAGAGGGAGGTACTAGCAGTTCATACAGGGAAATTCAATCTGTATGATTCTCTTTTGACTTTTCTGTCTTTTTTATAGCTCAAGCAGGGAGAAGTTGGGGAAGGGGCCATAATGGGGTGGGTATGCAGAGCTTAATGCTGAAAACAGAGGCCTGATTGAATAGAGCTCCTTGTGATGAGAGGGGGGATCAATTCACAGTTGACCCCATCCCATTGTGTGGGTTGTCCTGGGAGTTTCCTTTAAAATCCCAGTGGTTTGGTTTTTCTGCATGGTTTGTACCCAGCCTTTCCCTCTATGAATAGAATAGCTTTTCCTGGAATTTTTGCTGGATTTTCTGTGGTTATTGGCTGAGCAATGCTCTCTCACTTCAGAAGACTGAAGCAAGTACATTGTGGAAGTACTGATCAGGGACACTGAATCATTGGCTAACTTAAAGTTTTTCATATATAGAGCAAAGATATTCCTGGGATGCAACTACCCCCATGAAACAGATTATACTTTACTGTCCCAGGTGGAAGTGCTCATTCATTATTTGGTTTGCAGGAGTGATTTGGGACTTTAAAAACATATGAATTTCTGCCCTGCAGAATTTACAGCTCATGGTGATAGAAAGGCAGGGAGCTTCAGGCAGACTGGGGAACAAAACACTGTTCTAAAGCATAAGTAGACAGAACTGTGAATTAAGGACACTAGATGATGATTTGTAAGCATCATTCTTGTACATTACTTGTAAATATACTGGTCTAGAGAAAGGAATTAATTTTAGAAGGAAGGAGTACTTGAGAATCCATACCTGGCAGTGTCAGGTAAAAGACATGTGCAGGATGTTTCCCTGCCAGGGGATTGTTCTAAATGAGCCTCTGTATGACTGGGGTAGAGGCTAGGGTCTACAAGGAAAACGGGATTATTGCCCAGGTATATTTTAACATATTGCTAAAGTTAACGTGCTGTATTTGCCTGTCTGCTGCACTGCCTCATAATCTAGTGGCAGCATTTGAAAAGGGAATAAGGCTCTGTTCCTTTACTTCTCCAGCAAGTTGCATCAAACCTCCTCACAAATCCACAGTGTCTTTGGAGCTCTGTCCCCAGCCTGTTTCTGAGCAAGCCTGTGGCTCTTCCTGCAGTGACCAGGTGTTTTCCCATTTTATGGGTAAGATTCTGCCCTCATAACTGTGTTTCTTTGCTGGTATCACCAGCTGGAGCCAAACAGAGATTTTGTCTAGTCAGTTTTACAGGAAAATTCAAGACATGTCTCTGTTTTTCAACGTAAGGTCTCAGCATTGGCCCTCCACACAAGTTCTCTATTTTCCCACATGTGGAACATGCCCAGGTGTAGGAGAATGAGGATTGAAGATGTGCTACATAAACTGTGCCAGATGCTAAATTGCATTACGCTACTTTTCTTCTTCAGTAGATCAGATTCTTTATATTTGTTATTTCAGTATCTTAAAAACTTCTAGTTTTGTTCTTTATTTGAAGCATAGGGAGTTTACACAAAGGAGAAGGATTTTCATCCCATTTATTTCCTCCTGATAAAATACATTTAGCCTTTTTTTCCTGTAAACAAGCACAGCAAATGGAAAGATACCAGGTTTTCAGTAGGATAGAAATTAATCATATATGGAGTTTCTTAGTGGTTAAATGAAATTGAAGAGCTCCCGTTCAAGATAGAAACAAGTCTGAAAGTTTGCTCATCATCTTCTTGACATCTCTGTCCTTCTTGTTAGCTCTTAGGGGGAGACACAAAGTGAGTGTGTTTTGTTTTTCAGAAGTTGATCTGCCTCTGAAAAAAGATGGGTTCACCTCAGAAAGTACAACTCTGGAAGCCTTGCTGCGTGGAGAGGGAATAGAGAAAAAAACAGACACTAAAGAGGAAGACACTATACAAGAAATCCAGGTAAAGGAGAGCCCCATGCCCTGACATCAGGGCTGGATTTTACAATTTGTCTCTATGTCTAGCAGTCTTTTGTCTTGTGGCAGAGCAGTATATCTGCTGATAAGTTGTGTCATTCTACTGCCAAAATGTTATCAAACCTTTGTGCTACACTATGATGCTAAAAATGATGTCAGTATCTCACACGCTTCTCTTGTCACAAGAATCTTTGTTGTTTGACTGTGTTCTGCACAGGTCCTGTGTTGGAATTTATTTTGTAGCACTATGAGATAAGTACATAAAAAACTGAGAAGCTGAGGTGGATCCCAACTATAAACTGAATTTTAATGGTTCACATTTAAAATGAGTTTCACGGATTTCAATTTGGATTCACAGCTGTTGTAGACTAAAACATGTCATTGTCTTTCCTAATTTTTTTATTAGTAGGTAGCCTTCTGGAGGTATACAAGAAAAACAAATAGCTTAAAATGTGATCTTAAATATCTCAGTTATTATTAGTGATGCAGTATGAGAAGTATTGCCTCTTCACATGCATTATGGTTTGAAAATTGTCAAGATTCCATTCCATCCTTCAACAATTAAAAGCCAATACACAATTGTAGGTCTGTTATAGAAGGAATTCAGCTAATATAAAGGGTTCTTGCATAAGCCCATGTAACTTTTAAAACATCTTAAATCACTAGGAAAGTGGACCTCTCCCACAGCAGCACATCTTTCATGATGCTAAAACACCATTGTGCCAGGAGTCTTTTTAGGGATTTTTAGTGAGAGTTATTAGCAATGTGTCAAACTTGGTAATTCTGAGAGAGATACAAAAAATTGCATCTATACCTAAAAGTAGTAAAATTTTGAGAGATCAGTCCCATGGCAAATGAAACAGAAAAACATAGGCATCAAATCTGTCTTACCTGGAGTTCAGTCTTACTGCTCTATTTGTTAGAAATTTCACACAGGTGAGGGCAGCACAATTGGGTCTCCCATTCCCAGCTGCACAGGTAGATGAGCACCATCAAAGAGGAAGCATGCTCATGGATTGGGGAAAATCTTGGCAGGGAGCCCTGCTCTGTGTTTGCTTCTTCAGTAGTATATCTGGGTGTGTTAAGCTGAGAGCTCTCACTGAGGTCTGTTTTCACCTGCTTCCAAGGTCACAAGAAGTCATGGTACAGCATCCTTAGGAAATTGAGAAGTGCCTTGGAATGTTGCTGTGTGATCTGAGCTCCCAAATTATCCCCAGCAGCAGTCTGAGGAAAGAGACCTCAGAGATAGTGGAACTGACATAAATCCAGGCATTGCAGAGCAGGGAGGGGGGTGCAAAAAAATAGAACAGATTTTCAGCTAAACTGCTGTAGCTGTGACCTGTCACCTGGATGCCAGTTTCATCAGAGCAGATGCAAAAGGCATGTCTTGCTGCTTTATTTTATGCAAGCATAGCTTATCTGGATTCAGTCTGTAGAACAATGATTGCCAAAGCCTTCACTAGTATGCAGCTTTCAGTGTGTACTTTGGCACCTGGCAGCTAGACTGTACCAGATCAAAATCACAATCAGTGCCTTTATCGGTGTGACAAATAAGAGAATGCAAATCTCTCTTTTGTTCCTTTGCATACTTGTCTGTGCTGTGACTCCAAAGGGCCCAGCCTCAATGGAGGTGAGAGTGAGCAGGTGGGATAGACATAATTTTAATTCTCACCTCAGTCCCAGACACTTGCCACCATCCCAAATTCAAAGTATCTGTCAGGAGAAGATGCCTTAGTGCTCGGCTGCACCAAAGTACATAGGGCTGGGAAACTGATTTAGAAATACATTATAGGAAAAGAAAAGTTATTCTGCTGAAAGATATAAGGGTTCCCCCTGCTAAATAGATGCAGGCACTGGGAGCTGCTGTACAGTTGGTATGTAACAGGATTGACAATTCTACCCTACAGTAAATTAGTATTGAATGTGTGTCTCCATTGTTGGATGGAGAAGAGTTAGAGTAGCCTTCTGACCATGCAGCAGAAAGGTTATGCCCCTTCTATAAAGGCATTAAAAGAATTACTCTGGCAGTGTCACCAAATTCACTTGGTTACATATTATCTCTCTTTCCTAAATTGATGCTTCAATTTTAAAGGAAGAAAGTGATTTCTCTTAACTCTTGTGTAGTATTGTTGTTGTAAATTAGCTTATTTCTGTCCCACATAAGATGTGGTTGCCCATGTTTTGTTGGGGGTTTTTTGAGATACTTTAAGACTTAAGATATGGGACAATATAAAAATACAAACTCATATCAGTAAGTTTGCTTATTTTCTTACATACATTCTTACATTTCTTACAGTCTCCTCATGTACAACATTTTTCAAGCACTTCAGTCCTAAGATGGAGTCAATTAATGTGTGCAGTTGTATGAATTTGGAAGAAACATTTTATGCATGCAGAACTGGAACCTGCTTAACTTTTACACCCTTAGTATTTAGTACCTCCAATATTATGTAAAATTGTATTTCATGATGGTTGGAGCTCATTGATAGCTTCCTGATATTCAAAAATAGAAGACTAGATCCTTGCCATGTGCTACAACTTGTTAGTAATGCACTGACCAGTATTAGTCTTATAAATCTAGCTGATAAAAGAATAAACTTTTGTAACTGGTCTTCTAAATACAGACTTTTTGAAATGTGAAATTTCTGTTGTATTCTATCCCACAAATTCAGAATTTGGTGCTTGAGGTGTGTGGAAAGGAGAAAAATAAACTGATTTGCTCATGTTCCCCTTCTGCTGACTCTCAAATATCTTTTAAGTAGAAATTAGAGAGAAAGAATAAATACAGTAAAACTGAAAAACATTCCTATCACTTTAATGTCACTATTTGAGTCTGCGTTGTGGCTGTAATTTAAATGAAAATTCGCATGGCAAGGGCAAGTTAGTGATTCTAGATTAGTCCCTTGCAAAATGGCACAGAGCCATAAATGGCAGGAGTGGCTGGGGCCAGTCTCTGTATTTCTAGCAGACATGCCAAGGGTTGAGGGAATTTCAATGGGACTTCTTCCCACATTAGTGTTGTGATGATTTGTCTGGCCTTTTTCCATGTGATGTCTGACTTGTGCATGTTTCCATGCAGGACAGCCAGCCTGTGTTTGGTTCTGTAGAGGTTACATTTCAAAAGATCAAGTTAAAAGATTTAAATTTCCTGGCCCAGGCATCTCACAGTTATGTGAGCTGTATGAATGAAGTATTATTCCTAATAAATAATTAGTTGAACAAATTATTGCTGTTGGTACCCTTAACCTCAATGAGACCTGTAATTCCTCAGCATTCTCATGCAACAAACTTCCAGCTTCCAGATTAGAGTTTTACCTGTGGTGCAAGCCCTGAAAAACATGATTTTCTAGATCCATTCTGGAATATATGGAGGAATTTTCTCCATTTTTGCTAAAGAAAGAAGATTGGGAACTACCAAGGAGAAAACCACTGGTTTTGTATTCCTAAAGTGTACTCTCAACATTAGAAAAAAACAAAACAATTTAAATTGCAACAAATGAAAATAAAAAACCCAGGCAAACAAATTCCCAGACAGGGCCTGCAGTTATGCATACTAATATTTGTGTTATCTTGGAACATTGGTGCTCAGTGATGCCAGTATTTTCTCTTAGGAACCTTTTTACCATAGGTGACTGATAACAGTAGTATTTTTTTTAGTAGGAATTCCCTAGAGATCTCAAAGTGGAAAAGAGTTCAAATTTCACTTTGGTAGAGGGAAGCAAGGGTACTGGGATCTGATTTGGCTTTATATCAATGATAATAACCCACAGCCACTGTGGTAAAAAACAGTAGTTGCTTGTATGTGTCCTCCTTCTTCCTTCTAACCATTCCTATTTATTGTTCAATCACAGAGGGTTTTAGAAAATGATGAAAATGCAGATGAAGTGAATGAGGAAGAAGACTTGGAAGAAGATATTCCAAAACGAAAGAACAGGCCTAGAGGACGGGTAAGTGGAGAGTTTACTGGAATGGAAAGGAAGAAAGCAAACCTCTGCTTTCTAGTGTATATTTCTTGTGTGTATTATGTATGCAAAGTATTTTTCCTTGAATATATGATAGTGATAACACTAGAGGTAATTTTCAGTCATATGTAATAGATTTTAATATTTTTTCAGGTTTTTTTTGTGAATTGCTGTGGGAAAAAAAAAGGACTATTTTGAAAGTAAAAATTTGGGGGAAATTTATTTTAGTATTTTACTTACAATTGTAATGTAAGCTGTAATAACTATGATGACATCCTGCTATTACAATGCTCCATAAAAAAACATCTACTAATTACAGAAAAGCAGCAAATTCAGTCATGACAGCCAAAAAAGTATTAATAAAAGTAACTTGAACTGTGTTAATAAATTTTGCAGCTTTCTCCAGGGTAGCATTTTGTGGCTGACGCTGGCTCTCTTGAGCCCATGGCAAATCTTCCATTTGCTTAAAAAGGGCAATATTTTATCCTTAGGGGACTCTGTGTCCCTTCTCTTACCTAAGATGTCTTCACAATTCATCAGGGTACCAGTTAAGTAATGAGGCCAACATTTTAAACTTGGAATCAACATTTTCAATTGTGGGCCCATGACCTAGGCATCTAAATAAACGTGAACACAAGTCTCAGAAGTTTTGAGCATTTTCATCTCTCTTTGGCTCCAGTGGATGCTGCAGGGGCACAGGAGCTCTAGAAGTACCTTTTGATGTGTTCATAGAAGTCAAGCAAGAAGGGCCACATTTTAGGCCCTATTCACAAATGAGCAGAATATAATAGCTTTTGAATAAGAGACATGAAACCACATTGAATACTTGCAATGTACTTATGCATCAGACCCTCTCTTTTGGTTTCTTCTTTGGTTGTTGTGTTGTTTCAGTTTTCTGCTCCTCTTTATTTTGGAGCTTAAGTCCTTTAATATAAGATCAAAGCACTTTAATAATTGGATAAGTATATATTTCACCTTCCTTATCCTCAAAATCACCTGAACCAGTTTCTTTCTTTCTTTCTTTCTTAGCCAAAGACCCCCACCTGGAAAAAAATTTTCCAGAAAAATGTAAGTTTCAGAAAATTTGTATGAACCAGTAACCAAAACCAGGAGATAGAATCAATACATGCACATAAGCTTGACTGTAGCAATCAACTAATATTCCAGGCTAACAACTCTGTTCTAATAAGTTGCTTTCATGTAAACTGCACATGCTGGTCAGGGTGAGTGAAAGGGAATGAATATCTAAGAGAGATATAGTGCTCAGGAGAAGGAAATTTGGTGTATTCATATGTCCCAGACCTATGTAAAGTCCAGAAATTAGTGTTACATGCAAGATTTTGCTTCCTTGATCAGGAATATGTTACAGAAGTTTTTCTCTGTTACTGTAAGGAAAGGAGTTGGAGGGTACTAGATGTCCCATTCATTTTGAAGCATACATTTATGTTTTATTTTCTGCCCTAGAACTTGCCCCCTATTAAGTATAGGAGCAGCAGGGTTGCTTGCTTTTTTCTTGCAACTAACTCCTGATCCGCTAGTGCCCTGGCTTCTTTCAGTGCAAAAAAGAGAAATTTGAATAATGCCAAATACTTCAAGCAATTTTTAGTTTTATTTGATGGCATCAATAACCAAAGCAAAATGTGGTAGAAATTAATATTTCAAAATTAGGGCCAGGTTACCTAGCTGTTGAAAACTGGTAAGCCTGAATTGCATCTGGTCACAAGTGCTTTGTCAGTTTTCTAAAGGCAGCCCTTTTCTAGCCTGAACCATTATAGGGAATTGAGGCTAAGGATTTAAAATTAGGGGACATGAATCCTGGGCAGCTCTTTGTCTCTGGGAAGAACTTGGTTAGGGTATTTTTAGAGGGCAGAAGAGGAGAAGGACATGCATAAGAAACAGGATCCTGTGGAGAGTGACCTTTGGGGATTCAGAGGAGTGAGAAGGACTAACAGCATAAATGCAGGATTAATGCAACGGAATTACTGCTCTGGACTTTCCAAATTGCACATGCCCCTTCCTTTCCCTACAGCATGATTTTATTTTTAATCCTGGGCTCTCCATCTGTCCTTCTGGCTACTCTCTCTGGCTGCTTCAGGGCTGCTTCCAGGCTGCTGGGCCATGGGTCCAGGCCTCACATGTCAGGTCTTGTAGTCTTTGCTGCATGCTGTCAGGAGAATAAAGGCAGCCATGGATGACTGAATTCAACAGCCTGAAGCACAGACAGCAAGTGTGGGGCATTCAGTTTAGTGCCTCTGGGGCAGCTCCTTGGTTTCCTTTCCCCTCAAGGCTAGCCCTGAAATCAAGGGAGCATAGGAAGGACACTGAAGGCTGGAGAGGTAGATTTTCAGGAGATTTTTAGCGTCTTTGCTGGACAGGGGCAATGTGGTAGGGGCTGGGCAGGGTAGGTTGCAAGGAGATATGAGATGTACACAGCTGCACCTGTACAGATTGTCTGCTCATCAGCTGGATATCCCGTGGGACAAAGGCACCAAGCACATTTAGGAAACCAAGTCCCATTGAAAGTCATTGACTTGAAAAATCCCCCCCTCTGTGTTCATTGCATGGAAAAGTGTATCTGACACATGATCATGCCGTGAATGCTATGCCCCTGCATTTCTGTAGAGGACAGTTTGAAAGGAAACAGCTGGCTGTAAGATTAGCAAAATTCTGAGCAATAAACCTTAAATTAGTATCATATTCTGAAATGTACCTATGTAAAAATGCTACCTTCTAACTCAACAGGTGTGTTCCCAGTGTGTGAATAGAGTCAGAGCTACTGACTAGTGACAAATATAAGACTTAACATCTTGTTCATAGCTCTGAAAAGCCAATGTAGCTGGTAAGATAGGGAAATTAGATCCTAATCTGGGTACCAGCAGAAATATTTACAAGGGCCAATCACTTGTCTATGTGAAGACTCCCTGATGACTTGAGGGTTGTGGACGAGCTACCATGGACTGAAATTCAGTTTGCGGCACATTTAGCAGTAGTGAGGGAAGAAAAGACCTAGCCTGGGATTGATTTCATTGCCCAGAGGGGGTTTAAAGAGCTGGCAGCCAGAGAGAAAATAGTGCAGACTAGTAGGATGATTTTATGTGATATGGTCAGTAAAGAAGCTTCCACCAAACAATTGTTGCTGAGGCCATTTCTAGGGTGAAACCACTTTTCAGTTCACCCTTACAAATCTTGCTCATGTGTGCTGGACTGCACAGAGGTCTTTGCAGAAGGCAGATTTATCCTTGTCATACTTAATAGTATTTACCCCATCCAGATAGCTGCAAATCCATGGCTTTCCTTTGGGACTGTGTTAAGAGTTCGACCTGAGCAATCCCAGGGAAATAACATGTGAAGTTTTTATAAATCCCCATTTTGACAGACTTTGTCAGGCCAGTGTAAAACTGTTCCTTATTACTTCTCTTTAGATATCCAGTGGAACAAAATTCTAATAGTATTAGTTCTGTTCCAAGCTCGTAGAAGAGGGATGGCGATTCTATGGCCCCTTTATGGCTGGGTGCAAGTGGTCTCAGGATTTCTACACCTTCTTCAGCTTTACCTAACAAAGCTCTGTCCCTTCCTTATTTTCACATGCAAAGGCTTGCAGGATTTGACTCAGGTGGCCTTGTCTAGAGTGACAAATATGAACAGTTTAATAAGAGGAGCAGCAGAAGCAATTCTTCCATTTATTTCCTGGAATAGAGTAGCTAGCAGAATTAATAAAGGACTATTTAGTCATCCACCTGTGATAACTTCCTCAAACAAAGATCAAGTCTAAAACTATTGTCATTTACAGACTGTACATTAGTGAACATGAAAGAATTGAAGGCCTTGGCTCAGTTCCCAGTTCCACATCACAACTCCAGTATTGGACAGATATGAGCTGTTCCCTTGTTGACATCTCAGCTGAGAAGGGTCAGGACCAAGTAGTTTTAATGCTGAATTCCACTCTCACCCCTGGAGCTCAAGACAGAGCAGTCTGTGCTGGAGAAACAAAGTTTTTCAGTTTCTATATCTGCCAGTTTGGTTCATTTTAGGAACACAGAACTGCAGAGAGACCTTTCTGGGTAATTTCTGTTGTTGCAAGTAGCCACATTATCTAATCTTTTCCACTAACTGACCAAAACTGCTTTTTATAATTAGCCACGGTATCTTTGTCCCAGAAGGCCATTTCAAAACATTGCTTTTCAGCTAGAAAACAAAACATAACAACACAAACAATGGCCCTTTGAAAATACTGAAGGAAATAATTTGACCTCTCTTTTATTTGGGGCCTGTTTTCTGGCTGATTTAATGTTTGCAGATATCCTTCAACACCTGTTCATCTATTCATTCATTCATATTCAGTTCAGCAAGGTATTTGAACATCTTCAGAAATGAATGTGTGACGATACTCAACTGAATATGTGCTGGCAGTGACCGACTGCTATGGATGAACAGTTTGAGCTGTCTGTGGAGAGGTTCTCCATTGCATTACAAGGCCCATTAACATAGTGCACATCTTAGGAGATGAAGGGTCAAGACCACTTTGAGAAACCTGTATGGAAGCAGAGGATTTTAGTTTATACTGTACATCTTTCATAGGAGGGTGTGGGGCGCAAGGAGACCTGAGGGGTGATGGAATAATTCTAACATTCCTCTTGTCCTTGCAGGCTCGGGGATCTGGAGGTGGCAGGAGACGGAATGATGCTGCCTCCCAGGATGATCATGACAAGCCCTATGTTTGTGACAGTAAGTAGCAACTAGACAGCTTATTCTGCTTCCAGCCTGGTCCAACCAGCTTAGTGCACTCAGGGCTTCATATATTACAGCAAAATATTCTGCTGCTCTCTGACTTGCATGTTTGCCACCTGCTGCTGATGCTCTTGGTGTTTTTGCATGAAGGAAATAAAATTAAGTTCTCGGCAAGACTCCACTTTCCTTTGCCCTTTAATAAATCATCTCTTATATTTTCTTTCTCTTTCTCTTTTTCTGGCTTCTCTGCCTTTTGTCTTCTTTTCCCCCATGTAAGTTTCACCCTCTATTTCTTTCTCTGTTTCAGATAGTTACAAACAAAAGCATAACTCAAAAATCTCCGATAAAGGTACTTCACCCTTGTTGTGTCTCTTGATATATTTGGTGATTCTCTTCCCTTCAGTCCTTTTAAAATCTCACTGGGCTAAATTCTGAAGGTCTTATCCCTCACTAGAAAGTAGACTTGTGGCATCATCAAAAGCTGAGCTCTTTTAAGAAACAAATAACATCTCAAATGCTTTGTTTTGATACATATTCCCTTTGAATACAGCCCTGCTGTTTGTCATCTTGCAGTTGGACTGCACGTGAAGCAAGGCATTGCCTGAACAGAAAAATTATACTCGAGCCAAGCATCAACATTGAAGGAGGGTACCAGAGTCCTAGTATGAGTGAAGAGTCCAATATTTGTTACAAAATGGTTTGGGGTTTTTTTACAGTCTAGTCCTTGATGCCTTCCTTCTTCTTTTGATATTCTTTTTTGCTTCACTATGTCGTTTCTGTGAAGGGCACTTACCTTCCCTGATTATTTTTGAGGCATCCCATCTTAAGTCTTACTCTGGAATGTACATACAATTGTAATTTGCGCTACCAGGTACCTTCTAGCCTGTAAGACAATAACCTAAAAAATGCTAATTGAAGTAGGAGAATAGCAGATCTTCACTTCTGTGATCCAAAACAGGTGGTTTTGAGGACAACTAGACCTCCCTTTTCTATTATTTTCCTATCTTGCAATGTTGTAGACCTTAGAAGAATAACCCTTCCTATGTCAATCTATGGGGGTATTTTCTGCTGATTTTTAAAAACATGAGGAAATAAGGAGCATGCATGGTGAATAAGAACTATATTCCATGTGTCGAAATCATGTTCTTGTCTGGTGAGACCAGGTGACTGTACGTGCCCAGAAACGGAAAGACTTGCATATGAATGGGACACGACACGTGACAAAAAAATGGTCAAGAAGGAAGAGCCCTTTAAGTTATGAAGAGTCAGAAGACTTATGCTGCAGTTAAATAGCCATCCTAGTGCACTGGAAGAACTAAAATGTGTCTTCTAAGACTTCTATGAGTTCCCAAGATGTATCTTGCTGAAATCCACAGGTTTCTTTTACTGGTATATGCATATCATTCTTTATCTTTTTTCTGGAACATCCTTCTAAATCCAAGGACACTTGTCAGTGGTAGTCATTTTGAATGTAATGACTCCTTATTGTCTGATCTTGCACTGCTTTTAGATTTTACCAAGAACCCACAACATGCATAGTTATGATTTGCACAGAATAGATTAAACATTGAACATATCAAAGCAGGCAGCAGAAATCCAGCCTGAAGTCAAGACTCTCATACATCGTTGTATTGATGGAATTTTGCCTTGTCTTACATTTTGGAGCATAAATTTCATCTTTGGTTTGGAAATATAAACTGTCCTATTTCATTTGGCTGACGCTTTTCACTTTTAGGAAACTTACAGGTGAGTCATAAGGAGTTTTGGACTCCAGACTTTGCACAGTGACTTTTCCTTTTCCATTGTAGACACCTGATAAAAGGGTTATATGACAACAGAACTCTTTTACCTGAGTTTAGAGCAGAAGGGAAGAAGAACTGTCCCAGTTGTAATGTCATCATCCTGAAGTATATCCTGCCCTTGTTAAATTTCTATACAAACATGACATACAATTAATTATGAGTAATTGGCTTATTATCCTGCTTGGGTGGATTTCTTGGGTTAATTTTTTTCTTTGAAATTATTTGATGAATATTTTTATAGATAAAACTCAATCTAATTTTGGTAGGTTAGAAATTGGTTTGCAGTACTCCTTGTGCAGATGTTTTGGGCAGATAGGTTTGTTTTACATAGAAAAGTACAGGTAAAACACTGTGTATGTATTTCCTGTTTAGGAAAGCATTATTCTTTCAACCACATTATTGGTATAAATAATTAGCTTAATGGGCCAACAGTTTGCTTTTTCTGTAGTTTATTTAATTTGCCCCCAGGTTGCTTTTTCTGCAAGTATTCTGATATTTGAGTTTTGAAAATGACCATAGAGAAGAACGCATAAACACAGTTAAACCGAATTAATTTTCTTATAAAACTGCATGGGCACAAAAAATTATTTATAGTCAAAAACTACTTTGCTCTTTTATCATATTTACACATTCATATTTATGGGAAACAAGAATTTATCAATAGATTTCATCAGTTATAAAAAGGTTTTTTGGAAAAAAAACTAGGCTGTGTGTCAGTAAGATGATGCAAGAGTGATGCCCAGCTGGCACGGCCCCTTGTGTTGGGAAATAAAAATGCTATCTCTGAAAAGACCTGCTCTTTTCTGTAAGAGGCATTCAGACATACACCAGTATTAAGCTTGGTCCCAACATGAAAACTGACTGGAAATGTGTAATTTCTATGTGGTAAAGGTTTTCAAAGCTCAAAATATTTTGACCTCCTGCGTTTTTAGGAAGAGGTGATTGGATGTCTGCTTTGTGGAATGAAATATTCTGAAATACTTAATCTGGTTTCATTGAGCACATACTGTAGTAGAAGTTCAGAATAAAATGTTTGACCGAAGCATCAATAAAATTACTAGGATAATCATGAAATGCATTGTTTCATCACATCACCAAGTAGAAAACTAGGTGGTCAGATTTTCAACCAGTTGCACTGGATAGTGCTGTGTCTTGAGCTCCCTTGGAATAGCTTCAATAACAACAGTGGCAGAGAAGCCTGGTGGGAGATAGGAGACTGCAAATGGTAATGTAGCCAAACGGCCGAGCAGCTGTATGAGGGCAGTCCCAAATGCGCCTTGAGCAACTGGCTAGGAGAAGCAGCAGGTGCCTAAAAGAAGAGTGGAAAGTAGGGCTTGAAAAGCAAGGCAAAGCCAAGCCTCTGATGTCAAGCAAGTATGAGGTAAACTACTTCATGATAAACAGAACATGTGATTTTTAAAGGAGGTACAGAGTGAATGAATGAATAAATGAATGAATACCTACATGTTTCATGAAAACTGATGTTATGTCACTGTCAAATATTCAGCTGGGGAACCATTATTTCTACTGAGCAGTCTTCTTAAATAGCCTTCTACTATTTTAATAGTGTTTATTATATATCACTTACTATTTTTTAAAAAGAACAACCCTCTCTGAAGTTTTATCTAGAAACTTGTATTCTTAAAAGTTGAAATCAGTTGTAGTGCTTGAGTTCCATGACTTCAAAGTCTACTTCCTTTATCCAGAGAAGTCAGTCTTTGCTGAATCTCTCCAAGTTACTAACTTTCCTGCTGCCCCTCCTCACTTATATGCTTTCATCAAGTTCCCATGGAGACATGGGACTATGTACATAATTCCACCTTTTTTTTCTGTTTTACTCTACCTATGGAAGATTTCCCTTGCCCACCTCTCAAACCCTTTTACCCATATGTCCTCATCTCCTTTTAGTTTTATTCCCATATAAACTATTTTAGCATAGCAACTTACAGTTGTATCACATCCTTTTTTTGTAGAACTGTACATTTTTTTGTAGAACTGGGACTGAGCTGTACATTCAGATCCATTCCTTGTGCAAAATGAGCATTGACTGAAACTTTCCTAGAATCTCTGATGGATCAGTGACTAATGCAACATTTTATGTACCCTGACAGAGACACTGACCTTGCAGTATTTTGTAGAAGCTGATTCTTTCATTAAGAACTTAATTCTAAGGTTTCTCTAGTTACTTAACCTACATTTTCTCTGCTGAAGTCCAAGACTAGCAGTCCTTGCACTGTTCCTAAGGGATAACAATGTCTTCTGTGTCTGTAAACAGTTACTGGGACTTCTTTCATCTGTATTTTCTTCAGGTCTTTTACTAAGCTTATTTCACTTGGAAAAACTCCAAAAGTACTTTAAAAGTACTAGTAGCCAGAACAAAGTTAAATGTGCTGTTCTGAGGACAGACGCATTTTTGAAGATGAGTGGTTGATAGATCTACATGTATGTACAATTACTTTTAGAAATTGGATTTATGCAACTTGCTCTGTTATGTATCCACAAGAGGCACAGGGATGGCTGACCTAACAGGTTATTTAGTAATCACCACCTAGTATTATCCTTTCTAGTGAATTCCTAAGTAGATAAAGAGTAAGATCTAGAATAAGATGCTTGTTCAGATGAACTTGACAAACAACTCTCACACCATAGCTTCTATTCTTGGCATCCATTGACTACATTATTGGTAGAAAAGATAAGATTAGATAGGTAAGGACATTTAAATTTATGTATTTTTTTACAATACAGAATAACAGACATGGAATAGAACACATGGTAAGAGGGGAACAGAGCTGACTCTGGCAGTTGAACATTTTCTACTCATGTAGGATAGTTGTTTTCACCTTTGCTCTGGCTAGCAACCCATTTATTGAAATGTGCACAGCTGTATTGTTGAGCTGTGCATGTTTTGCACTGGGGGTCAAAGTAACTGTGATTTTAATACAGCAGGTAGATTCTGGGACTTGTCCTCTGGGGGCACTGAAACAAGGACTACTGACCTCCCTATTCTACCTGCAGAAAACTCCCTATGGAATGGGTTACTAAATATCTGCTCTCATACTACAGGTGTATAGTGTGAAGTACTGATCAAAGAGGGATGAATGTAATGCCCTTCTGTCAGTGGAGGTCAAAATTGCACTGTTAATGTTTGAGATCTCTAGATGTGCCAGAGTCTGTATGCAACTGTAACAGGGGAGACTGTATTACCAAATCAGTGCAAAACAAGGACAGGTTTGTTGGTTGGTTTTTTTTGAGTGAATGGTAGGACAGGAAGCCAACTTTGAGGAATAACTTCCTGCCAAAAGTTAACTCAAAATTTGACACAGCACAGCGAGAAGAAAGAACAGGAGGCAACAGAGAAAAGCAAAGGAAGACAATGAGGAGGCCAAAATTCAGTGACCAAAAAAAAAAAATCAGCATGTATTCCTCCAGTTTCCTGTTTCCACTAAAAACATGGATTGTTTCCTTCTGTCTCATACTGGTGACAGATTGTGCAAAATGTATGTGGAGAGCTGGCTGGAACACAGCTCACAGGCTGCCAAGGACCAAATGTGTAACTATTTCAAAATGACAGCAACACAGCCATTAGATATTTGATGAGGAAGTCTTTTAAGTCATACATTTCAAATCCCTCTTTTAACAGGAAAGTATTTTAAATTAATTTTACTCTTTGAGAAGTAAATGCAGAGTGAGAATTTGCTTGTCCAAAGAATTGCAAGGTGCTACAGCCCAGAACTTAGAAGAGAGCTCTCTTTTATGAAACACTCAATGCTTGCAATTATACTGTTTACCTCCCCATAATGCAGTTGTGTAACATCTTCATATCAGTCTTCAATTTTGAAGGAAAGTAAGGTTCATCATAGGAGACTGTCTGGTGGCCTCATAAAAAAATCTCTCCCTCTTCCCCATTTGTGACATTTGGTCTGCGCTGCTGTATTACTGCTTACTTACCCAGCTTGTTCCTAAGGCAGCATTCACATCAGGTCACAGCAAAAATATATCCTTTGAATGCAGGAGGAATTGGAGTGGCTTACGTTCTACAAACTCCCACTGTTTTTATTGAGCTTGGCTACCTAATTAAAGATCAAGTCCACTTCCCAGTGCTGAGATTCAGGATGAAATCTACCACATGCAAGGATGATGAGCCTATCCAGCAAGGAAAATTGAAGATAAAAAGTCAAAGCTGCTGAAAGGAAGGCCACTGGACAAAATTTATGGAAGGCACACTCTCATTTGCTATGTGTGAGCTGCATAGTGTTAAAAAGTAATCAACAAGCATGCATTTCAGACTGGGAGAACCAGTTCTCACTATGCTTTTGTCAGCTCTAAGAATGAGAAAGATGTGGTGTAAGCACTGGTGGGGATGCTGGATACAAGTCCTGCTAATGAAAAAAGATCACTGTGTGGGCAACTCAGCCCCTCTGCGGTTCTCTTTTTTCAGAACTGAAATGAGAATAGTATTTCCCACTCAGGAATGTGGAGGAAGATTAATTAATGTTTGAAAAGCTAGTCTGCAGTGGGAAGAGTTATATAAGAACTAAGTGTTTATTAATGATCACCCTTTTATAGAAACTACTTCTTAGCACAGTGATATGGTAGATTAATAAAATGTGCTCTTACCTGGCAAATAAGAGATTAGGGTGAATTCAGGAAGATTCAATCTGTTGGAGAAACCATGAAGTTCTGACTTAGCTTTCATTCTAGCAAAGTCTCACGGAATGGTTCTTTTGCCTGACTAATATCATGACCCTTTCCTCCCTGCAAAAGTCTCTAAAATTTGTTTGAGGAACATGAAATCTCTCCAGTTTCAATTCATGGCATTGCTTCAGACTCTTTTCATGACACAAAGTGAATTTGAAGAATGGAAAAATCTAGACACCAAGAATAAAAACTGCTGGAAATGCAAATATTTGGTCCTACAAATGATCTGGTAGGACAACGTAAACCAAACTCATCTGCCACAGTTCTGATTATAAAGCCCTCCAAATCAAATTCTCACAAGGCATATCTGAGACTACTGTCATCCTTGAAGCCCACCTGGAAGTCCTCACAATGGAAAGGACTCAGCTGCAGAATTACTACTACCTCAGCTTATATTGATACTTGCTTTTTCCTGATGAGCTGATACTGTTTTGCTGAAGGAGGACAAGTCTGGAAACCCATCTGACTTCCTGTGTCATTCTTAACTCCATAGCTAAAATCCCTGCAGGATCCTGTAAGGAATGGAGTAAACACCATAGTTTTGGGACTTGCTGCAGGGAATGCAAGTTTCCTTTTGTGCATTGATCACCTGATAGTGTTCTGGAAATAATTTGACAGAAGTCTTTGAGCAGTATTGGTAATTCATAGCAATAGAATTATTTTTTTAACGTTCTTCTTCAAAAGCATAAAAGTAAGTGGGATAGAGTAGGATACTTCACGAGCCAATCCAGTTTATCTAGCAGATGGTCAATCTGCTAGAAATGTAAATCTCTTTCTCCATTCTAAGAAATGCTGCAACATTTATGTAATTAGAGGAGGCTACCATTCTGGAACAATTTAAGCAGTGGGCTCTCTTTGGGTTGATGTTTACTTAAGTGTTATGCTTTTCCACTATTCAAAACATGGGGAAAATCACACAGAACTGCAGATATCTTGTTGTTTTGACTTCTGTTCAGCATCTGTTCCACTGCTTGTCCTTTGCCCTGCAGGACCACAGAGAAGGACAAGTAGTTTCCCTCTCCAGAATGCACTGGAAGAAAACAAGGATGGCACTAGAAGAAGGGAGACTGATGTTTTGTGGAGAGTATGCATCTAACAGCAGTCTAGCTCTTCAAAATGTCTGGCAATGGAGTTAGGTTTACATAGGAAAAATGAAGGCAAATGCTTCAAAGAATGGTTGTGCATATCTATATGAGTGTTTTATTTCTCTCAATATTCCCCCTTCCCTCCTGCAGGAGGTCTCATTTCTAAATCAAGGCCATGCAAAGACTTAAAAAATCTGTGACTGAGGACAAGACATACTGCACTTCAAAGAAACTTCTGTCTTGTTATGATGACTCTGTGATCATCACTTTGCACAATGAAGAAAACTGGGATAAAAGTATCTAATATTCCAGATCACTCATACGTATCATGAGCTTGTTTTACATGTTTCTAATAAAGAAATGCATTTTCCTTGAGGGAGTTTTTAAATCAGTTAGAAGAGATTAAGAATGAAATATATTATTGTAATAGGCTTTTATTTAAAATTTTCTGTAATCTGTTCCAAAAGGTGGAACATCAGTTGGTGTTTTCTGAGTAGAAGCAGAAAGGTATAAAATTTTAAGTTTTATTTATATATAAATGAATAAATGGGATGAGAGGATTTGTCATGGTTTTTTGTTGGTTTTGTTTTTGTTTTTTTAAATTTTTTAAAAAAATTTATCTGTGGAGTCTTTGACATTCCCAGACTCAGGTGTCTGGAGAATGGGAAGTAAGTATCTGTATATGTTGCAGGATACATATTGGAGCCAACTTAAGTTTTTAGGAGTGGATGGACATTTATCCCTTAGAGATCCTTTTCAGGGGGTTATAAAAACAGGATTGTCTTCTCCCTTCTGGCACCATTTCCTTTGGCCTTCTAAGCTATGCAGGACAGATTGCTGGACATGACATTTATTCCTGTGTGAAATCCTTGAGGTTAATCAAGGTAATAAAGTGCCTGAAAATGTCTCTAGGAGTAAAAACTTGCAAGAAGAGCACTAAACTTTTTGTCTTTGTTTTCTAATCTTTTAAACTGGCCATATTTGTATTTGGTAGACGGAATAGCTTTATAAAAGAAAATGAACATTCAGAGAATGCTTTGAAAATGAAAAGTGATAAATTTTTGAGATGATAATGTGAATTAAAAACTTTATAGAAAATCAATTTATATGTAATGAATCTTATAATGTTGCCTGCCCTTGCTGTAAGCTCCCTGTGAAAATGTAGACCTTTCATCACCCTGGGTTGCTTGATTCTGTTCTTAATATCTGTTGACTTAATCCTAAAATAAATGAAAGTTCAGAAGCAGGATTCTCTGTCACACATTATATTGTTTATTGGGATGCCGAATATGAAGTTTACCTGGGCAAATAAGTATTGATACCACGTGTTTTTTAGCAAGAAACTGTGGATGATTTCCATCTTCTTGTCTTAATTGGGAATCTGTGAATAAAGCTATTTATTAACCTTTTAGAGAAAGTCTTTAAAAAAAATCCCAGCTGTTTCCTTTTTTCAGAGATCAGTAATGAAGAAAATAATATCCTTTCTTCTCAGTCTTGTTCCCATTGCTGTGCTTTGTGCAGCATCGCCACTGGAACTGGCATTTCATTTAATTTTATGTGCAGTCTTGTTAGTAATCTTAGCAGAGAGGATTAGGGTTCTGTGATCTGCAGGGACTGAATGTGCATTTGCCTAGGCCTGTGGGAAGGACTGCTGGCAGCATGGTGGGAAGAAAGCTTGTCTGGGGACCTGCAGCTGCAGGGCTGCCTTCTGTCACCTTCCACCAGTGCCCACTGGAAGAGTTTTGGGCAGGCGCATGGAGTGCGTGGTGCCATTCTCAGGGGAAAAGGGAGCATTATTGGAGAGGATGCTGCTGTGGTTGTAGATCACACTGATGTTTCTATTCTCTCTTCCCCTCCCTTATATCTCCTTTCCATCTAGTCTGTGGCAAGCGTTACAAGAACAGGCCTGGGCTGAGCTACCACTATGCTCACACCCACCTTGCCAGCGAAGAGGGTGATGAAGCCCGCGAGCAGGAGACCCGCTCTTCCCCTGTCCACCGAAATGAGAACCACAAACGTGAGTAGGATTTTCCCTTTGCCTTTGAGATCTTTTCAGGGGTGTTGCCTCCACCCTGTCTTTGCCTTGGGGAGGCTTGTGTTATTGCCTGGCTCAATTGTGAGTGATTGGGACCTGGATGCTTGGAGCTAATCAGCCACAGCTCACACGGGTGCTGGCTCAGCTAGTCAGAAATTCATTTCAAACCCAGCATTATCTCTGCAGCAAGTCACTTTTCCATTACTGCTCCTGTGGGGAGGAGGTGGCAAGGAGAGGGGGGAAAAGAAGAGATGCCCAACCTGCCCATCATCAAGCAGCCTCCCAGTGGCTCTTAGTAAGGATGTCAAAGAAATACACATCCAGTAGTTTCAGGGGGCTGCCTTTATTTTGTCTTTAAGTAAGAGATATTTATCAATGTCTCAGTTTTTCAGTATGAAAATAACAGCACCTTTCTCCCTTACACCTTCACCTGCTGCACAAACAGCTTACCCTCAACTTTGCCAAAGCTGCTTCTTAGTTACAGTTTGACAAAAGCTATGAAAACACATCAGTACTGATCTGCAAGGAGAAGAACTGGAACATGAAGGGAAAATGTGCCTCAATTTCCCACACTGGTACAGCACTGAAAGAAATCTAAGTGGTCCAAATTTTTATGTGATGAATCACATATGCTCAGTGTGAGCATAAGATCCATCACCCTATTTGACTGCCTCTTCTATGCTCCTTAGGCACAGAACAAGAAATTAAGGAGACTTAATTGTCTAACTGAGACTTGTTCTATTACTGATTTTTGCAAGTCCCTAATCCCCTGTTTCTCAGTTTTTCCAGAGCGCAGTACTGTGTGATGGTTGCTGTGGCCTTGGGATTTGTGTAGATAGCTCTGTTCAACAAGTTCTTTTGGATCAGCATGTGATATGTGCTATTTTAGCTCAAAGTAATAAAGCAATAAAATTCTTATTGGGAAAAATATGCAGAAAAACACTTTCTAATACCTTAAGAACTGCAAGAAACATGGAAGTAGGAAAATATTGTCTTTCTAAGCAGTATAATTGATAATTGTCCCCAGGGAGGTGTGGGAGGGGGTTTCCTTCCTCCCAAGCATCTGCTACTAGCCACTGTCTGAGCTTGAAGGACTGTTTAGTGTGATCCCATTTGGCAAGCTTTATGTTCCTGTCACTTTTATGCTCTACCTTTTAGTTATTCACATGTTTTGTAGATTCACAGCAAGAGTAATTTTGACTTCTCCAGCTGTTGATAAACTTGAGCTGTCAATGCACTAAGACTGACTACTTGGGCAGGCAGGGGAATGTCACTGTTCAGCCAGTAGCTTTTGTTTACTTAGCATTTTCATCAGCTTTGGGGGCATTTTGGTTGGTTGGTTGTTTTTTTTCTTGAGTCTGCAGTAGCCAGTAATAGTTGCATACCTAAGAGGAATATTGCAAATCTGTATTGAATTGATAATGGTCTTGTAATAGATGCCCAAAGAAAGAAGGGTAGTGTCCCATGCCCTGAATTCAGCTTGACATAGATTTGATATCAGAAGCGATTTCAGTCTTTGTGTCTCTGGAAATGATGGAAGTTATCAAGAAGAGCTAGAAAACCCATGGTAAGGTTAGGAGCAGCTGACTTTGGCCCATGGTAAAAAATAGTGTGTTCTACACTATGGGAAATAGTAGCATGAGAGCTGCTTGGGCTTGTTTTTCCCCAGAGCATGTGGCAAAGGGAATCTGCTGCTGTGCAGATCCACAAGCAGGCAGAAATTTAGAACCTTTGGGGTAAACTTCCCTGATGCCCAGATTCCTGAGTGGAAAGAGTAACCAGCCAGGAGCCAGTGAGGTATGGGCAACAGCCGTGCAAATGTGCAGATCAGCCTTGGGGAAAGTCCCAGATGCTGGAAGGTAACTGTCCCAAATGGTTAAGCTGTCACAGTGGCTGTTTGTTCCTTTTTTGCCTGTTTGTATGTTTACAGCCTTGAGCTCAGATCTTACATCTTTGCTCTTCTACTTGGCGATATTTAATTTATGCTGCCATTTATCTTCCATGTGAATGCTAATTGTCCACAATGCTAATGTGCAGTCATTAAATGGTCCCTTTGTACAGGGGGATGGTGAGGAGCCAGAGCATCAGATCCTTCCTCTCCCCTCAGAACTGCTAGGCATGTGTTATGAATTAGACTTGACAGGTCTGCAGCATTGTAGGTCCTGAGCTTCAATAGTCCTCTCTGCATGGGGGGTGGGGTAGGTGGGAGGGAGGGAAGGCAGAGGCATGTTAATCCAAACAGCTAATCCACAACCCACTGAACAGGAGGACCAGAGATATGATGTGGAGTAGGATCTGGTTATTTGCTGAGCAGTATGTCAGAGATATGAGCAGCCTGATTTAGAAAAGGGAAGGCAAATCAAACCAGCCGTTTGGAATTTGTTGTGCTGTGGGAGGTGAGCACTAGGTCAGTAAAGTTCAGGCGGGCAGCTGCAGCATGAACTTCCTTCCTTTGTAGCCACATCTCTACAGCTTCCGCTCCTGGCAGAACCGGCAGCAACAGCGGCACTGGTGATGCAGGAGGGAGCAGGGCTTCTGCAGGATTCAACTATTGATGCCCTAACTGATGAAGACCTGAAAGCCTCTTGTCTTTCTGCATATTCAGTCCCCTCTATTTCATGCACATACCAATCTGAGTAGGTCAGAAAATTATCCTGAGATTGGAAAAGAGATGTAGATAGGAGGAACCTACCTAAAACAGAGAGCCATTGAGTAGGTGTGCATCGAAAACTGGGACTGGCCCAAGTCCCACATCTCACCTCCTTTGCACATCTCACTGTCCTTGACTGTGTAGAAGGTTTGTCTGTTTACATCCCTTTACATCTCTCTCTCCTTCTGTCCTTCTTTCTCACATATAGATTACCTGTTGCAACATGAAAGATAGTTCAACAGTCAACAGCCGAGCCTGTGTTCTGTTTGAGCTTTAGTGGCTTGTTTGTATGCTTTATCTAGCCCTTTGACACAAATAAATAGCCCTTGCTCAGTGTCTAGTCTTGCCTCTGCCTATACATAAATTTATTTCTCACCTCCTCTCTTTTTTTTTACCTGAGTATTGAACTGTGAAAAGGAAATTATAGAAAACCCTTTAAAAAGTCAACTTCCCCTTTCCTCAACTCCACTGAAAAAATAAATGATCTGACACCATTTTCAGACTTTTTCTCTGCTGGCTTTTCCTCTACATGTTGGCACCGAGACCGTGAGATTTGTGAGCCCAGGGTGCATCCAAGCCTGCCACAAAACACCTGCTGTTTTATTCCATCTCTCTCCATGGGTACAGGCCAGCTCTGGGGGCAGCTGGTGCTCACTAATTTTGAGACACTTCTGATATAGGAATTACATTAGACTTCTATCTATTGAAATGTTTCTGTGAATGAGTGTCCTAGTATAAAATGCTCTTTCTTAATTCCTGGAAGAATAGGATAGTGTATCTACATGGAGAAAAACTTCCTCTCCTTTAAAGGAGAAGAGTTTTCAGTGGCATTTTGCTGTGGGAAATGTTGATTGCAGGTGGCTGTGCAGAAACAGCAACTGAACAGGATCTTATGCCCACAAGCACTTTGGCCAATGACAATCCTAAATGAAGTACATTGTGCTGCAGGTTGATCTATAGTGTAGTTTAGGAGGATGCATTCCTGTGCCCTCCTGCCCCTCTCCTAGCTTATGCATCTGCCCTGCAAAACCACCTGGGTACATTATCTCATGGCATCAGCCTGTTGTGCCCCGTTCCATCTCAGATTTTATTACGTGGATAAATCTCTACTGGAGAGACCAGCCAAAGTTGTTTGTGTACTCTAAGCATAATTGGATACCCGGTCTCCAGAGATAAAAAATTAATGTGCTAACCTCAGTGTGCCTCGAAGCTGTCCTCCAGCTCCCCCACACAGTCATCTTTGAAACATTTTTATTTCCATCCAGGCAGGGGGCTGGCCATGAATAAATGACGAGAGTCAGCCCCTCAGTTGGAGATCAGCTGTTTGTTCCTCTCCACAAGCAGCATCAATTTGAAAAGCTACATCAGGCCTACTTTTTCCCTGCCTCAGTGCTGATCCTTGCTGGGACCATGGTGGGAGCTACTTCTGAATGCAAGGATGCATCAATGCCCACCTTGCAACAATATACCCTGCAGCAGGTGCTTTTCAGTGAAAATATGTACCTTACTTTGAGTTGACTTCTTAGTTGTTTAATCTGTTTGGGTTTTTTCTCTTTTCAGAGTTTGTTTTCATAAGGAAAAACACTCAAAATGCTAGCAGAAACAGTAGTGATTGGAGAGTTTGAACTGTATGAAGATTTCCCTTAAATCCTGTTTTGCAGCCGTAAATTCCTGAGATTTTTGTGTGTGTATTTTGTGATGCTGAGTTAAAAAATAGATAGTTGTTTAGAGTTATGGCATAGTAGAAAATCCCAAACTCGTCTTCTGTGTAGAGGGAGAGCTAATCTGCAACTCACTTTTTTCTTTGTTTTGACTGGAGTAATGGGGTGGTTGTTTTGTTAATTTGGTGTTTCTTTTCTATAGTGCCTGGACAGGGTCTAAAATGTTGCTCATGATGTGCAGCTATCATTGAAGAGAAGCACTGAGTGCTTCTCAGTATTTTATGGGAAAATATTTCCGATCTGACTAATTGGTTTTTGAAGAATGTGGTGCTTCAGTAGCACATCAACTCTTGATTTAGGATTGTTTCATTTATGTATTTACATTTTTTTTCTTTTTCTGCTATCTTCCTGCTTTTTCTGCCATTTTTTTCCCTACTCCATGTAGAATTTGAACCAAGTAAAACCCAAATGCTTTGACTGAATTTGAACTGAATAGGTGTTCTCTGCCTTCTCACACTCCTCCAGTGAATAATTTCCAGATAAAAGCCTACAAGATGTTGCAGGGACCCAATTCATGGCACTGGCCATTCTCCCCTGAATACTGAGGGATGCTGCCAGATGGGACTGTATATTGGACTCTACAATCCCTTCTTGAGGTCGAATATATTCCCTTAGGCAATGGGAATGATGTGTTTCAGTGGCCAGGTGCCAAGTCTCTAGAGAAGTACCCCTTGAAGTCAGGAATTCTTTATGTTAAGATGTCAGACTCTTTTTTCTGTCTTCCTGCTCTGTGTCTCCTACTGTTTATCACCATAAAAGCACTAGACAGTTACAATGTTTTACTCCTAGCACTGGGCTTTTCGCTGATGCTTTAGGTGTTCCTGCAGAAGAGTCTATAAGGTCAGTGCACAGAAATTCTATGAAATTCTGCCTTAAAGTGGAGGAACACTGATTCCCTAAATCTATTGAATCCAATCAGTTGATGCTGTATTTTCCTAGTTGTACCTTCCAGCTACCTAGCTCACCTTCCATCTCTTTCATTAGCTATTTAACTTAAGGGCCACACTGATTCCTGTAAAAGAGCTGATCAAATGATCTTCCTTTCCCCACATTTAGAGGCTTCCTCTGACTTTTACAGATGTACCTCCTTCTCCTAGCCCTTCTTGTAGTGCTCCTTGGCTGCACTTCTCTTTGAGCAGGGGCTGTAGGAGAGGCAAACCTTTCAGCTAAAAGCTGTGCAAAAGCAACAGCTTCTTCTATCTCCACACTACCAGCTAACTCAAAAAAGCAGATAAAATCCAGTTTCTACAGAGACCTGGCAATACTTTGGGTGGGTGGTTTGCAGCACCTCTCAGTAGCATATCCTGCTTCTCCGGCTGCCAGCAAAGGGCATGCCCATCCCGTGCGGGGGAGTGCAGCGTGGGGAGCCGGAGCTAGTGGAGGCCATGGGGCTGTGCAGGCTGATTAGCAAGACTCTGGGAACAGAACACCAGCCGTTTCCCAGCGTTACACCCAAGTTCCAAGTGTGTTTGGTAGAAAACAGCACTGCATTGACACAGATGTGTCGCCTCCAGCCCGCTGCAGGGCCCTGTATCAAGCACCCCAACACTTCCCGGTTTTGGGCCAGCCAACATGCTTATCTCTGGTGCTAACAACAGAGTAAGTGACTGGCCATTTCCTCTCATTCAGTTTGATTTACACTTCTTCCTGGAAACCTGCAATGAAAAACCCATGCATTTAATTCACAGTGAGGAGTCCCCAGAAATGGCCGTGCACATCCCCGCGCGCCTGTGTACATGTGAGTGCACTTCAGCTGTGCGCGGCCTGTTCCTCACCACACCAGCAGCTGTGTTCTTTTATTATTCCTTCCCAGGGCAGGGTCTAGCCTTGAGCACAGAAGCAGCTCCCCAGTCCATTTTCTGCCCCATCATTGTTCACTGCACCCAGCGATGACGGGGACAGAAGGGGGTGAATGCCCGGCCGGCCATCTCCCTCCTCTTCCATCAAAGAAAGCCACAGAACGGGCACTGATTTTCTTTTGCCTTCTCCTTAAAGCCACGTTTTCATTTAATCATCACAGTGTAATTTCTCTCGTGAGCCTGCCGCCCCTGCACAGAGCCATTCCCAGCAGCAAGCGGAGGGGCCGCGCTGCGATTCCTTACACTGGAGAGCCGAGGCAGGCAGGTGGCAAGGCCAGGCTGCCAGCCGGGCCCACGGTCACCATGGAGACGGGCCAGTCCTGCCAGCCAGAAGCGCTGGCAGCCAGGGGAGCCAGGACGGGCGCATGGACACATAGGCTGGGATTATCTGTCACCGAGGCCTCCAAGGGGGCTTGACGACCTCAGGCACAGGCTCTTGGCTGGCGTTCTCCTGCTCAGGCAGCCAGATATTGGACTTGCCTCTTGCCAGGGAGAAAAAGGGAGGAGCTGGAAAGGAGAACTGGCCCCATCTCAGACAAAGAGTCTTGTAAATTAAACAAAAAACCCCAACAAACAAAACCCCAACAAAAAAAGCAAATCCACCCCTTTCCCTCCATCGTAAAGTGCACTGGCTTGACGCAGGCCTACATGCAGGGTCCTGCGGTCTCTACTGTGCTCAGAAGATCCTTGTTAAAAACAGAGTAAATGGCCTGATTCAAAGCCTTTTGAATTGAATTGAAAACCTCCAGTGGGCTTTATTGGTTTTGGACCAAACCCAGAAGAAACAGGTAAGAGCTGGACAAAATGTGCTAGGAAAAATCCCTTTGTGAATGCGTATATCTCTGACGGTAGCCAATTCACCGTAATCATTGAAATAAATGATGCACAGCTCCACACCCAGCAGCGAGGCATGCACTCCATGCATTCTCCATCCCCTTCCCAGTAATGTGGATATGACAAAAAACAGGGATAAAATGCTGCCAAATCTAGATGCATATCTCAAATTATGGTTCAGTAATGTGCTGTATTACCTACAGGCTGAAGAAGTATGTGTGACATACATACTTCTTATTTCTTTTACCCTGGAACAGAAAACCAGTTTTTCTTTTAAGCACTGGTTCCACCTCCCAAGTTTTTGAAGACTGTGATCCAAATCATCAAAATAATTTCACTTAGAAATCGGAAAAATGGATAGATACAAGGATCTATTTGTTTGGGGGTTTGTCTGTATATATTTAAGGGTCACATTTTGAAGAAAAACTATTAAAAGTATCTTTTCTGTTTAAAAAACAGAGACAACCATTCCTGCTTCTGAACTTGCCTTCCATCCAAGATATTTTCTGCAGCCCTGAGAAACAGAAAACTTCTAATCTCTAAAAATTAGGGATTTTTATTGAGTCATGTGGCTCCAGGAGATGATGTAGAAAATAAAATTCCTTATTTCTTGATGCTGTTTCATTATAAGCACCTGGCTTTTATTATTAAACTGAAACTATGCGGAAGATAACTTACAGGGTTTTTGGTTTCTTGGGAGGGATGAAGGGAAACTAGAATTCTGTTTAGTGCCTCTGCCTTCAAAATTAGGAATGTGCAGAAGTTATTTTATATATTTAACTCAGTCAACTTGCTTAGTTTTCAGATTTTGTCTACAGAACAAGGTTACTGTGTGATATACTACATAATTTATGTAATTTACTGAACTTACTTTGCCTACTGTGAATGATGATACCATATTTTAAGAAGTTCTTTATTCTGCTCAGCTTGTTATAGCTTGAAATTAACTTGATTAGGCTAAGAAGAAAAAAAAAGTTTCAGAATAAGTGCATACCAAATTTATAAAATGACTTTATTTTCACTCTGCATCCTGTCTTCATGTGAATCACCTTTCAGGTTCAGGGAAGCTATTATTTGAACTGTGCACATCTTTCCACGTCTCTCCTTAATTAATTTTTAAAGTATTTAAAAAAAAATGTATACTCAATTTTGGGGAAGATGTTGATGAATCCTGAAAACAACCCTAAGCTAAAATGGCAAGAGGCACTGATTTAAATGTACCTCCTATGAGCAAACTCTACCTCAGGCAGTACTCAAAACTCCTTAGAGCTTTTGATCTGTTGTTGCAGTTTGCAATGTAAAAGAAAATCAGAAGAGTTTTGAGTAAGACAGGACAAGGCCATGGCTGGTTTTCAAGCCTTTGTTTTAAAACAGTTTCTTATTTTGGGTGAGTTTTAGAGGGAGTCACCATGATCTAAATGAGTCAACTTTCTGCTAGGGTTCTTGCCAGCTGAGCTGTTTGGCTTAAACTTGCACTTTCTACTTGTGGATTACCTTATGCAAAAAGTGAATACCTAGTTAATTACTAGTCTCAGATGAAAAGCAGCAACATAACTCCCTAGGAAATTAATTGTTTTTTCTTATGAATCCATTCCCATAGCTACTTTTGTAAGTAGTTTTATTGATTTAGGTGTGAGATTAGGGTCCAGCTTTTCCTGCACGATACCCTATTCATGAAGATTGCATGTTAAATCTTGCCATTTTTCCTTTGTTTCCTAATTTCTTCATCATTTGTTAATGACAGTAAAATAGAACTAGAAACTCTGAGGATTTATGCAAAAAAAAGTTCCTTTGAAAGTAAGAACGCTGCTTACTGTCATCTGAAAATCTCTTTATTCTCAAACCTTCTGTGATTTAGCCTGTGACTTAATTCACTACATGGTTTTGATGAAGAAAATAAGCTTAATCATGTTTGGTTCTAGGTTTTGCACCTGTTAGAGCAAAAAAAAACCCAAACCAAAACATTGAAGAGAATAACATTGCCTGGCTTGTTTGTCTCTAGATACACATCCTTTAAGATATCATTGATGTAACTTCAGGAATTTTGCCTCTGTCTATGACTTTTCAGGGCTGATATCTCTATCACACTCTACTGAGCCAGGTTAGTAAGTGAGCACACAGACATTCACATTAAAAATTAAATAAACTGGAACAAGGATGAAAAGAAAGGGGGAAAATGAAAAAGAAAGGAAAGAGAAGAAAGAAGAGAAGAGTGATCAAACCCTATGTTTATTCCCCTGACAATGGTCTGGGAGAATCCCTTTATCACACTCAACAAATACCCTCCACCTCTCCCACACGCTGCAGATGAATCGATCAGTGTATGCATTTTTGAGTTCCCCTCATGCATTTCTAGTTTGACAGTCAGTAGATCTTATGGTCATAATCCATGCTGAAAAAAATTTAAGTCAGTATATGGAGAGTGTTAAATACACCATTATGAGCACTGTTAGAAGCGGAGCTCTTTCCTAAGTCTGCTGGCTGGCACCCTGACTGCTTGTTTTTATTTGTGGCCTCACCACAGAATTTTTGTGTGTTTGAGAATAAGCCAGTTTACCACTCTGCCTCCAAGTCTTTCAGCTTTAAAATGCAATGCAACCTCACCATGAGACTTAATTAGGGTCCAGAACACTTTGGTTAGATTCAATGGCAAGAGAGGCTTTTGACCTCACTGAGGGTTAGTAATATGATCTTAATATCTGTAAGGCACTTTAAGACACTTGGATAAAAGGTAAAATAATGTAATAAGGAACAACAACAAAAGAAGTCACTGAATTCTGAGTTTGCTGAGTTTGCATTGCACGTGGTCTGTCTGTAGATGCAGAATAATATAAAGAGGTAATTACTTAACTTTTTCAAAAAGGGGCTGCAGTGGGAAATATAAATTCTAGGGAGGTCTGCTTTTTATACACAAAATATGTACCAGCAGCAACTTTATGATCATTTTGTTACAGCTCTTAAAATGAGCCGGTGTGCTAGACTTCCACCTGGTTCCTGTTCTTTTTTTTGCTTATCTTGCATGAATGTATTAAATACCTTCTTAGAACAGACAAAATGCTAATTTAACACTGGGAGCTTCTCTCTTTTTTTGAGAGAGTTGGAGATCTGTCAACCAGGATCATTTCAGAGCAATGACTCCATTGTTTAGTAAATACTGTTTAGTATATACAGTCAGGATCTCCATGACCATGGAGGAAGACAGTGATGTATTTGCAGCCCTATGGGTTTTAATTTTCTTCTAAGTTTTACTTTACCTGGAATCTTTCAGTTACCAATCTCTAAAAGTTCAGCTGATCAACATCTGTAAATAAATGAATAACTAGATGCACCCAAACCAGAAAAGCAGATTGAACTTGGAGGAAATTTTAAGTGTATGTCTTGGACTGCTACCAGAAGCCCTTTAGAATGTCATTGTTCTTTGGGGGAAATTTGAATGTGGACAAAAAGACCATTAATAAAGGCTGTCGAAACATCTGTTAAAAATCTGCAAGTTACAAAATATGCATTAAAAAGATAATTAAATAGAGATGATGCAGATTAAAGTTTTTAATTTTCTCTTTTGTATAATTCTTCAGGCAGTAGGCCTAGGCCAGGTATATCTGCTGGTATATAACTGCATTTTTTTATGTTCAAAGAGAAGAAACAAAGACCAACCATTACCTCCACTCCCTTCCCCAGTTCATAATTAGAGTGTACAGGAAGATGTTTTCCCTCTCTGGAGAGCAGAGGAGGGAAATGGCAGTTGTGAGCAAGAAAAGGACATTTCTGTTCTGCTCAACTAAGAGGAATTAAGAGGACCTCTACCCTTCTCTTCTTCCAAAGGGATCTGCCTCCTCCTCTGCTTAAGATCAGTGTGTGTCTGCTCCTTTCCAAGTATTCCTAGCTGGAAAATAATAATATAATCTTGCCCATTTTTTCTTGGCTGAAAAAATTTTTAACTGCTGGTTGAGATGTCTGCCCCAGGCTCACTCTACACTTGTGCTGGGTGCTGGGGTAGTGTTGAACCCTTCCTGCCCAACCCAAGGGACATGACTGCTGCAGGGGACTTAAGTCTTGGGTGAAACATCCCCAAAAGGCTTTACCTGTGAATATTCAGGAGCTTTTGAACCAACCTTCTGACCAAGGACACCCTGCTACTTAGAGATTTTTTTCCCCTAAAAAGCTACTTGAAATAGAAACAGTAAGGGAAACCTATCCCTTACATCTTCCCACTGTTTTCTGAGTTTTGGAGACTGTCTTTTTCCCTTTATGAATTTGTATTTTATGGATTATGATGATGATTGCTGCCTGAAAAACCAAGTTTGGTTTACTGACAACATAGGTCTTATCCTGTGTTAGGGATTGCCTCCTATACCTGTATGTGTTACAAGTCCCTGAACTGCAGAGGCATATCTGGAAGCACGTCCTTGAGAAGGAGCAGCCTGGCTGGGATTAGAAAGGAAATAGTGAAGACCAGTTCAGGCAAACCCTGGGTATACTTAAAATGGAGGTGGCTTATGCAGTTTACTTTTTGTTCTGATTGACAATGTTTTGGGAAGACTGTGGCCTGCGAACTCACTGAGCTAAGTGAAGCAAGAAAAGGACATATCAAGGATAAGGGGAAAATGTGCAAGTGAATGCTCTTTTAGTAAATCTGATTTCTAACCCAACTGCAGCCCAGAAAGGACCAGATGGGGTCATCATTCCCAATAACTACTGTGACTTCTGCCTCGGAGGCTCCAATATGAACAAAAAAAGTGGCCGGCCTGAGGAACTTGTATCATGCTCAGACTGTGGGCGCTCTGGTAGGTGACTCCTTCTTGCATCTTTCTTGTACAAAGGCATTTGTGTGATTTGGTTTTTGCACCTTCTGAAGATTCTGAGGAAAGGCAGCATATTTGGAAAGGGATAGAGGATGGAATCCTACCTCTGCTCTGTGTTTGTGGGAAAGGATGACTGAAAAATTTTATTTTATAAACCCCATTGTTGGATTCACATATTTAAGCTAATGGGGTCTTATGAAATAATGAGGTTTTAATGTATTTATTGGCTTTTGGGAACATTGGTACATGTACTAGTTGCTCTTCACATGGAAGGAGAAAATCTTATGACAATTCTACAGAATGGTCTCTGTCTTCAAATGCTGCAATTACAACTATAAATTACTTACAAGATTTATGAAAGTTGCATGACAAGCATTCCCATTGATTACACATTTCATGCATTTCTTCATCCAAAAAAGAAAGAGGGAGAAAATTACAGGGTAGGTATGGGGCTAGCTGTCAAGAATTATCCTCTTACAAGATGACTATCATTAGTTTTGTTTAAAGAGGTTTTTATTTCTCCCTTTTCTTCCCTTCTCTCTTTTTAAATGTAGGCAATTGTGTCTTTCCCATTCTGAGTTGTCTTTATTTCTGGGCTGTTGTTTTCTTCCTTCCTTTTTTTTTTTTTTTTTTCCCTTCCTTTCTCTTTTTTTTTTTTTTAAATTTTATACCAGCTGAACAGTTATTTATAGCTCACGTAGGAGGTAGTGGTGGTGGTAGAGGGAATTGGGAGACCTTTAACAACTACATATTCCAGCATTGGTCCAAGTTTCCACTTGTGATATTTTTGTATAGTGGTGATACTAGTGGTAATAAGATGGTCATATAGAAATCTGAAAACCAAAGAGGCCTTGAAATTCAGTATGAATGCTGCTCCTTCTGTACTGTAGTCACTGAAAGATGTCTGTTGCTTCATGGCTGAAATGTGATGTGGAATGTTCTCATACCAAGGAAATGGCCTTTTTATGCTTCTGCTGAAATTCATAGTAAGCCTATTACCACCTTCAATGGGAGAACAATTAGATTCTCACTGAAATTGCCTTCTGCAGTTGTTGTGACCTCTGAAGATATTCTGAAATTATACTGGTCACCAGAGGATCAATGGCAACTCTTCTGGTTTTCTCCAGGGGCATCCTTATGAATGTTGTGCAGTCAGAGACATGGACCTTTTAGTGTACACGTGATTGCTTCTAATAACTGAAGGGGGAAGTCCTTGGGGTCTGTGGTGCCATCTTGGAAGATCATTTCCCTTCGCCTTGGTTGTTATATTTCCATATAACTAATTTCAGCATTTTCCTGATATGGCACAGTGAGATGGATCCATATTTTATTGCTACTTAAAACATTGCTATGGTGATTGTATCAGAATGCAACACAAATACGTTAATTCCCTTGATTCCTTAGTGTGATAGAACAAGTAGATCAGCCTGTAGCCTAAATTGTGCAAAATCAGTTCCATTAAATGCTATCCTTCTACAAATTCTGACCCGCTTGGGTCATTCATAGGGTCTGCAAGGCTGTGACTGATGTGTGATGAAAGTGATTAAGGTATAACCACACATTAATCTCTAAACTAAAACAATGAAACCTCTTTGGTGTCTGCCATCTTTCTCTTTTATAAAAATGGAGAACTTTTTCATTACACTGAAAGAGAGGTCATGGAAATTATATTGCTTCTTCTGTTCACAAAGTCAGTAAAATCACATTTCTACAATATGGTTTATCTGCCAATTATTTTGTTATATTCATTTTCTTTTTTGTGAACAGGATTTACTTCTTTCTGTCTCAAGCAATGCAGTGTACTTGTTATATGGCTGATTCCTGTAGCTGCAGCAGGGACCCCACAGTTGGTTGGTTAATGCCATGCTACTGGTTGTGAATGAAAAAACAGCTGTTCCCTAAAATCTCACACTTCAATTTTGCTGGGGCACAAGAGATATCTTTTTCTCTACCTTCCCTAAAGAGGGAATTTGAAGGTTGTACTATTAATCACATAAAAAGTTTGACTGAGAGAGAAAACAAACCTGAATTTCACAGATTTCAGTATCTGACTTCTCTTTTTAGGAGTCTTCTTATGGTTGTTGCCGTTATTGATACTCTGTGTGGAGAATTTCCTGTTCTATCTTGAAAGTTGGATTAACTCACACAAATTTGAACTTTTCAGTGTTTCCCAAGATGGGTTACTCCTCATCTCAGTTGTTTTAGTTGTTGAACTGTATATATTAGTTTTGGGACTTTTTTTTTATTTTTGAAGGACATGACATGAAATTTGTATTGAAGTATTGGTTAGGTTACTTTCATTTAGTCTTCAAAATGTATTTCATTTTGTCTACAGAGGAGGTTCTTTAGGATCAGGTGAAGAATGGGGAAAAAAAGTAGTCCTGAGCTGGATGAGGTATCTAGTGGCTTACATTTCTATAGCAGAAAATTTGTGACTGTTGATGCCGTTGTGCTTAGCCTAACAGTGTATCATTACTTACATGGTCTAAAAATATATAAAAATTGATCTAAGTAATCACGAGGAAATATTTTACTGTCTTTTGAAGAGAGGAAAACATGATTAACCCTTTCGCTGCTGTAGCTATGGGCACCTGTGGTGTTTGTAGATTTTTTTTCTTGGAAAGAGAAACTGATCCTTTATTATTTTTCTTACTGCAGTTCTACCTATGCTGTGTTGTTGGGGTGCGCGGGCACATACAAGCAGACATCTATGAGCTTGATAGTCTGACTTGTTTAATGATAATGAAAATGATGAAAAAAATGATGATGATGATGATGCCTGTTGCTTAACCCATGTGCTGATATATTCATCATACATGTCAGCTCATTTGGGAAGAGAAGGCAGGAGGGACGAAGCAGCGCCAGCACGCACTACGGAGGACTTGTTCGGTTCCACGTCAGAAAGCGACACCTCGACCTTTCATGGCTTTGACGAGGATGATGCAGAAGAGCCTCTCTTGAGCCGAGGAGGTGGCTGTGGTGGCAGGTCTCCCTCTGCAGACAAAAAGGGCGGCTGCTAAAATAACTAAAAAGACACAGAAACTCTGAGCTGTCCTTTTCACTACTAAGACTATTATTACCTTTTTATTTTTTTTTTAATTTTAGGTCCTCTTGGGTTTTTGGTTGGTGTTTTTTTTTTTTTCTCCTCCCCCCCCTTTTTTTTTTTTGTTATTTTTGTTATGTTTTCCCTGTGGGGTGTACACTGAAAGCACAAACATTTAAAGCTCTTGACAACTACTTTGAAGAGACAGAAGGTTTTTGATTTTCTGGGGGTTTTTTATTTTTTTTTTTTAATTTTAATTTGGTTTTATCCCACCTCCCCTCCTCTTCTTTCTCTTTGGAAACATAAAAAGTGGATTTAATATTTTTTTTAATAGTGAGCAGAGTTGATTTTCTTGTCTTTTAATATATATATCAGCAAACCACAAAAATACAGATGGGTTGGAGAACAGACCGCAAACCCAAATAGTTTTTTTTAATTATTATTATTATTTATATATTCTATGTATTATTAGAAAAACTACTTTTTAAATAAAAAAATAGAAAAAAAAACAACAAAAAAGCAATGGATGTCTACTTGATAATAGAACTGTTTCTAGAGAACCACTGTGGGCGGACTATATCAAGGGACAAGGAAACCCTTGATGTGATGGCTTCTGCATTTTGAGATTTTGCACTTACTGTAGCATGTGAAGTCTGGCTCTTCTCATACATCTGCTATGCTACAGCCTGAAAATACAAGCAGCACCATTGAAGACCATGGCCTTGGGGAACACATTTCCATCTCCTTTGGACACCTTTACACTCAATAGATCTCCTCCTCCCTGCTGCACTCTTTCATGTCTTCCCCACGTGTTCTACTTTTTTTTTTCTTTTCCTTCACCTTTCACTTGATGGAGAGCAATTTCCAAGCATAGGGATGGAATATGAATGGCAAGTCATAGACATCACAGACGAAACAAAAGGAGGAGCAGAATCCTGGAAGAAATTACATGGAAAAATACCTCACCTATACTTTTCTTTCCATTTTTAAATTTCAATTCACAGCATTTTTTCCTGTGTTACCCTGTTTTTTCTCTCTGTAGTGTCTCACAAGACACTTTATTTGCTTTTTAATAGCTTCTTTTGAAATAAACCAAAGCAATACTAATTAAAGTTCCAAGGGCAATGGAGAAGAGAGTGACTCCCTTCCCAGCGACTCTCCCAGAAAGAAGGAAACATACAGCAGGATTTGAAAGGTATGTCCGAGCTGAAATGTCTTTCACTCAATTGTGAAATTTCTTGCTCTGGCTTTTCAGCAGACCTCTGACTGAGCTTTGTTGTAGCAGCAAGTCCCATGGATTATACTGTATTTTAAGTATGTGCCACATTCATGCCCCTGGTGAAGCTAATGGAAGTTTTCTGAGAGCAGGATCCAGACTTGTGTACATTCAGAAGTGATGCAAAAGGAGTCAGTGTGTAGCTATGTTCTGCTGTCCTAGGGCAGGCAAAAATCTCCCAGGGGCAGGGGCAAGGTTAAGTTCTAAAGATCTCTTTTTACTGATGTAAATAATGCAAACAGGGTGAGATCATGACCTGATTTAGAGCAAAGGCAAAAGAGACATTGCTCTGGACAGTGCCTAATCCTTAAACTGGGTGTGTGTTATTGATACCAGAGTAAAAGTCTTAATCTTGCACTAAAGAATTTGGATATGTACAATGAAAGAAGCCAGGCCAAAAGGACTCCATTTTTCCTGCTTCTTTGCTAGGGTAGCCTGTCTGTGAGAGCAATTTCAATTCCCTCCCCTACCTTCCAGCCTTGTAGAAAAAAGAGAAATAATTCAGCCTCTTGATTTTTTTATTGTTCTCTTTAGACATGGAATGAGCAGTGACCAAATTCTGCTTCTAAGTATACAGGCATAGATCCAGAATATAAGCTAACTGATGTCTAGCTTACATTAATAATCTGCCTTCAGGATGCTGTTAGAAAGCATTACAAATACCTCTGAATGTGTATACCAAAGAACAATGCATGCCAGAGCCATGCACACTTGCCAGGAGAAAGCTTTCTTTAAGCTTTCCCCATTTTGATAATTCTTTTCTGTTGCTATTGTGTTTCTCCTGATTTATTATAATCAATCAAGTGTCAAATCGATTATATTTTGACATAATGCTGTCAATGAGAAGTGTACTTTAACTGATAAAAACATTAATTTCTTCCACAACCAATCCTTTCTTTCCTCTGACATAGTGCAAGATAGATAATGTTTTACTACTCTATCTAGTAAAGCTCATTCCTTGCAGCACCTGAATTAGGTAGCTGAAACCTACCCAAGTACATCTTTCTGAAGAATTTCCATCACTGTATAAACTGCAGAACAGGCATACTGTAAATGGAGTTTTTTCAAAGTGGAGTCCTTAACATTGTCTTTTGTGAACCATGCCTAACGCATTCTGGGCTCTTCTGGAACACAAACAATAATCAGATGCCCATAATTCATTAAGTCTTGACTCAGTTTCACAAATGCAGTTACTATAACAATGCATACAGTCTTAATCCTTTTGCAACCAAACCACCCATCTCTGTGACAACTGGGTAGCACAGTACCCTCAGAAAGAAGCCACAGCAGCTCACAAAGTGCATAAAAATTGCCAGCTGGCATTTATTGCAGATAGCCTAGAAAATACGCTCACAGTTATTTATGTCATTAATGTGTGTATGGATGCTCACCTGTTCAATGTAGTCCTGAGAGATCAAGTAAGGTAACATTAATTCACTTTTATGGACTGAGAGTAGTTTTTGGATTCCTCAAGATGCTTAATGAGATTGAGATAAACAACATGAGTTTAGTCCAGCAGGCTGAGAAGTGTGGTACTGACCATAGGAAGGCATTGATCACAGCAAGGAAATTAGGATGTAGAGCTGGAAGCTAAAAGAATACTTGTTTAAGCTAGGTTGTAAAGCAATGGTAATGGTGAATATTGCATGGAATGATGATATGGAAATGAAATATTCGCAGGATATGTAGTGCTGGAGTGAAGGCTGGGAACAGGGAAAGAAGGTTGGTAGCTCCTAAGTTGAAGGAAGATGAAAGCAAAGGGGTTGCTCCACAGGACCCTCTCATGAGGGGAAGATGACAATGTTAACGAGGCAGAAAATATAGAAGAGAAGGTTGCATACGTGCAGTTAAGAAAGCAAAAGGAAAAAAAAAAAAAAAGGATTCTGACACTAGCATAACCAGTTCAGAAATGAGAGAACTGCACAATATCAATTGTATCTTAAAGAGCATGTAGGTCCCAAACCAAACTAGGGAGGCATAAAAGAAGTTTACAATGTGTACTCTGTATTGTAATTAAAAATTTATCTTTGAAATCAGAAAGAATTGTGATGCTCTTTAATCCCCAGTGATTTCAGCAGTTCAATGAAACTTCCTCTTCTTCATAAATTCTTCAAAGGTGTAGCCCTTCACCTAATCACAAACCTGGCTATTGCAGTTGTCCTCCAAAGATGTCCTTATTACAGAAAGGTTGGCACAAGGCTGTCCAAAGATTCTCCTGAAACACATGCTCCCAACAGACCACATACCAAAATAAGACAACCCCAATGTGAAACGTGAATAAAGGAATGTTTCATTTCAAGCCCTTAATGCAGACTTTTCTGTGTTTAATCATATAAGCTATCTCCTCAGGCACCTTTCCACTGCTCCATATTAAAGGATCATAGAAAACACATAGTTTCCAGAATCTTCCTCTGCTAACTCTGATTCATAGATGGGAGCAGGAGAATAAAGGAAGTGGCATGCTGCTTAAGCAGCTGATAAGGGAGAAGAAAGGCTACATGGAGTGGGCACTGAGCCTATTCCCTTCTGAGACATCTAATTAGTTGAAATTTCAGTAGGGACAGACCTCAGCTCTGTCATGAAAACAATATAAATTTCAAGCATGATAATATACATTGAGAAAATTTTAAGCAAATACAGGGTTCTGGCATAAAAGCTAAAAAGTAGAAGGAGAACCAGGCACATGATGGAAGTGGAATGGAACTGAAATCCAACTTGCTTCACTTTGCATCTCTTCCCTTCACCTAGACACTCCCCAGTTTTGTGGGCTGGATATTTTTTTCTTGGATATGTAATGGGGCCTGGAATAACACTGTATGTATGTGGTAAGGTCATAAATGATGAGCCTAGGCTGCTGAAACAAGGGCTAGAGAGAACTTTACCACTGACTTCAGAAGGATTACCACTGGGCTTTCTTAGCTATTGCTTTTATTGAATGAAACCTCCCTGTTAATATGCTTGCTGGTATGGTGTAGACAAGCTCTGAGATGGCCATTTGTTTCAGCAGAATGTGTTATTAGAGTCCCCTCCCCGCATTGTTTTGCCTTTGAGCTTTTACATTAGTTATTCATTTTGAGTTCCAGTTTGCCATTTTACAGACCTCAGCTTAGGCTCTTGATTGAAGACAGAGACTCAGTTTGCTGCCAGCTGATGCATGGAGCAAACATAAACTACACCCAGAGTCAGAGCCCGGACAATGCTGGGGCACCACTGTGTTCTCTCCTGCCTGCTTTGCCTTTCTTTGGTTAACTCTCACAATGATATTTTGAGATGGGCCCTGAAATAATAGTTCAAATACCATGAAACTATGGAGTTTTCAAAGCCTGGCTCTTCCTGCATTTTGCCTCTTCCCCATGGCAAACAGTTTTACTGAATCAAATCCTCAAGCAAACATTGTATTGACCCCACTGGGAGTCTTCTTATAAAAACTGTAAAATCTGCCCAGTGTGTTTTGTGACGCAACATATGTAGATGTTTCCAATAAGCACTGATTTAATATTCTACTTTTTTTTTTTTCTAATTTAAATTAAATTTGTAGCTATAAGTAAAGTATGAGGGCACATGCATGAGTTCATGCTCACATGGCATTGTTTTGACAAACCTCACAGTGCAGGAATTCAGCTGGGATGAGTTTTTGCTGACTAAGCCATTACAATAAACCCCACCAATCCTTACTCTCTTCTACCAGTGTTGAAAAAAAACCAACCTATATAAATATCATAGAATACTAAAACTGAGTCAGAACTATTTTTGTGTCCCTGTCTATGAATGCTAAGTTGCCAAATTCAGAGAAGACAAGTTGTAATAACATTTAGAAAAAAACCCCAGCTCTTGAGATTTCCAGGCCTGATAGCTCTGTTAAGTGGATGCTGCCAGCTCACACCTTTGACTTATTCTTTTGGTCTCTGGCAGCTCCTAAGATTTTGGACCTTCATGTAGCCTAGAACTGATATGAGAAATGTGAGAAGATATGGGAAGAGGCACATGCATTTTGTGGAAATAAAGATTATTTTATTTGCTATCTAATCCTGCTCAGGATCTTAGCAGTATGTAACTTAATCAATTCATGGAATAAATGCAATGAAAAATGCAATCTTTCATTCTTTCCAGAAGTTATTGCATTGCTGACACCCCATGTGTATCATTTAGACTTTTGAAAATGTCTTTTCTGCCATGCTGTATATGTTTGTGGCTCCCTACAAATAATTAGCAATAGATCAAGGTAATTAGAACAGGATTTCATAAGCAAAGGTCTTAACCTCTTCAGTAGAGACAGCTATCTAAGCTGAATGATGAGAGTTATTTAATAATGTTCCCCATAAGAAAGATTTACAGTGTTCAGTGCCTTTCTTTTGGATATGATTTTTCTTATCCTATTTGTTTGCTTTGTTCATTTATGGCTTCCACAATCAGTTGAAACTGAGTCTGTTGGGGTATATTTTCAAGGAACTACAATGCAAGCAATGTTGGAAGTTTGGTTTGTGCTGTTACTGTTTTTTCTGAACACACACTTTTTTGTCTGCTTGAGTTTGTTTAGTTTTACTTTGTATTGCCTTTCCCTCTGCAGTCAGCCCTGCCCTCGTGGATTTCAGCAGCCTTCAAGCAAGACATTTCAGAAGACTGAGAGAAGCCCAGATGCTTTGATACTTCTTTCTTTGCCCTGTCTCCTCCACACCCGAGTTCCATCTGGCACAGGAGCCTGGACTGTGGGAAGTTGGCTGCCGACTGTTGAGAGAAGTTCTGGGGATGCCCTAAGCTGGTGCAATACAAAGAAGTTTTTTGAAGTCTTGATTTCACTTTCTCTTAAGTGTGTGTATAAACCCAGGTCAGACTGGAATTGATCAACAGTAGAACTGACTGAAAGACAAACAAACTGAAAAAAGACAACTATTTTATTTATTTCGATATTTAAGAAAGAAGTGCTGAAGTTGCACAGTATTTTTGTTTGAAATACATTTTACTTCAAATTTTAAATGCAATTTTGTGAAGACGTGAAATTTTAAAAAGCACTTACTGTAAAATAAAGACTGAATATTTACTTTAAAGAAAAAACTTTTTTTAAATAATGAAAATAAAGGTCAACTCTGCTCTCTCTCTTACTTTTAAGAAGCCATTCATACATGTGCTGGGTATCTTTGTTTTTTGAAAATTGGATGTGGTAAGTGAAGATTGTTCTGGTTTATTTTCTTCTTAATAATATCCTGTTAGATGCTTAAAACTTACTTTGCTGTACTGTGTTAGGCACAAATCTGAACAAAAACTGTTGGAGTAGCAAAGACCAGGCTCAGTGGTTGAATTTTTTTGTAACCAGATTTTGTGTCCATTTCAAAGGACTGTCTTCTCCCAGTAGGATTGATGTGTCTCTTTTGCATGGTAAAAGAGGTTTTCTTTTGAGCAACTCTGAAATACTTTTGCTGAAAGAGTGGCTTAAGAATTGAAAACAATTCTGTCCACTTTTGTATTATTTTTTGCTTTGGTAAATCCACAGCTGATTGTGAGTTTGTTGTAGGGGAAGTATCTAAATGTTAGGTGCTCTTGGCATGGATCTTGTTGTCAAGGATGATGTCATGTGTAGAAAACTTGTGCACTTCAGCCCATTCTGAAGTGGTAGTGGACTTTGAAAAGCATACAGGTGCAACTACGCATCTGCAATAAGCAACAGGGGTTACTACGCAGGAGAAAAATACGAGTTCCCACAGCTGCAATCCTAAATTGTCCTGTGAGGCAGTGGGGAGGGATGGTCACATCCCAAATTCTGAGTCATTATGCATTTTCCCAGTGAAAAAGGCATTCTTCTCCGTGCAAGCACTGGAGGGTTTTGTTGGCCGCCAGATCTGCTCACAGTGGACAGCACAGGTCTGTTCAGCGTCATGTGTGATGCACTCTGGTAGGGATGTAGGATAGCCTTGTATTCCAGGAGACGGGTATTGGACTTGGCTCTGTCTGGCACCCTTGTTACAGAGGAGAAGCAAACTGAGGGCAAACCACACCATCAATGATTGGGATTGACCCTCAGGGTACAGGCAGAAAAAAAAGTGGTTTTGTTAACATGGCTTACTTTGGCTTTCAGAATGAAAAAAACTATGTCTACAAAAATGCATGCTGACTAGGTGAAGCTGACAGAAAACCTGATACTGTTGTGTGTGTTGTGTTTCCTGCACACCCAGAACACAAACTCACATCACTGAGAGGTTTCCATGTGCCAGTAGCAGCAAATTGTTCACTCCCTTTCCCATCTTCCACTTCTTCCCTGATTAAAACATAAATTAAAAAATAACCATGTAAGGTAGTCCTGCTCCAACAAAATTCAATGAAAATTTGTGTCCTAATTGGGTTCTTTAGGAGGATAGGTTTGCTTTGCTCATGTTGTTGGTTTCTTGCAATGGGGAACTGCCTCTAGAGAAAAAAAAAAGAAATAAATTTTCATTTCATCAAAATATACGACGCACAATTGTAATGAAGATTTGAAAACTGTAGGGTCTGTGTTCAGTTTGTGTAATATTCCTTCCAAATAAAAGTTCTGCTTCCAGCATCCCTACTGTATATTCCTCTGTAAATATTACTTTCCTGAAGCAATTCCACAGTCTTTTTTAGTGCAAATAATCTTCTTTTAAAAAGACATTGTTGAGTAACATATATGTACATTTACTTTTCTAAGCTCTCCATTGTTTATAATACTCTCTTTGAAGCTTAAAATAAAACTTCCTCCTCTATTGATTTTGTTTCCCTTTTCTATTTTGTAAATTATGGCTTTTATCCCTGGATTTTGTTTTGTATTTCCTAATGAACCATGACATTAACGAGGAATTATCTTAATTTTTCTCTTTTACTTTATCTTCTCCATTCATTGGACTGCAGAAAATGGTCCTGTTGCTTGCTGTAGTGAAGGTAGGCAGGAAATAAAAAAGTGCTTGTGTATAGGACTCATTGTAAGAGAGCTTTCTATCATTTGGTGATAATAGAGGATCTTCCTAAATGTGTTTGTATTTTAATAGCCTTCTTAATGAGATTAGTAGAGTTGCATTAAGGTAGTTTGCAGTCACAGGCGGAGTCTAAACTATATAATAGCTGTTCGCATAGAGTTTAGTGACATTGCCTTAAGGAATCTTGCCCCTATGAATCCTGTTTCCAGTCCAGTCACTGGAGTAACTGGAAGCATTTCACAGTGCTGGCATGAACCTTCCCTTTCCCCTTACATGTATTAGGTTAATGATATGGCTGTATAGAATGAAAAGAGAAAGAGGAAATACTGTTTCAGATTATATGCTATCTTTCTAGGAAACTCTGTGTGTGATCTCTTCACTAATGTGTTATTTTTTATAAAGCTCTGTTATACAGATGGCCTCCTACCTGCCTGATTCTTAACATCTGTGTGACAGACTGTGTGTCTTTGTGGCAGATAATTAACTATTCTTGGTTTTCTTTTATAGCCTTTCCCTATAATTTTTTTTATTTTTCACAGGTGTAATTTAAATTTCCATTAGTATTTTGGCTTTCCACTCTTTCTTTGAGTCAATACAACTTAAAAACTTCACTGCTTGCATTCATACCTTGTCTTTACCTGTGCAAGGCCTTTGGCTGATTCATTGGAGCAAGAAGGAAACAAAAAGGAAGTTTCAGCTACCTTTTCTGTCACTGGGCTCTTTGCAACCTGTTTGGGATCTGATAGAGCAGGTCGTGGACTCCTCAGTGGATTGTCCTCAGCTGTTCTGTGGCTAAAAAAATCTTTCCTTCCTTTTCACTTGTGCACTGGGCACCAGAGGCAGCTGAAAAGGTGGGGCAGGTGCCAACTATCTCTGAGCCATGCTGAGAAGGCAGCTGTGCTAGTCTTACAGTGTACACAGAGGGAGCGGATTGCTGCTTTCACAGCCCCCCCTAGATTCTTCCATTTTCCCACTGTGATTTGATCTCAGATATTCCTACAGCTGTCTGAGTTGCAGGCTTAGAGAACTTCTTTCTCATAAGGATTTCATAGGGATGGGTAATCTTTTCCTACCTGAAAACTGAGAAAGGAGGGGAGGGTTTGTGATGGCTCCTGGTCAGTGCTGCTGTTTTTGTTCTTCTCTAAGCTCCTCTTGAGCTTTCTGCTGTGCTGGAGAGGACAGAGAGACCTTGGACTGAGGGCAAAGCTGAATGAGGGAGGGAGGGAGG